CTCTTTCTCTTTCTCTCACTTGTCCACCACTAATGTATCCCCTACGGAATATATTTGTGTATCAATTATAGATATTTGTGGTGGTAGTTTGAATATCTCTGACTCCAGTTTCTGTTGACTCACTTGGTCAGTACCTAAAAGTTGTCTTTTTGGATGCTGATTTAGGAAAATAAAGAAAATGATTGTAAATTTTAAAATGTACATACTCTGTACACCTAGAATGTAGTGGATAATTCTGCCCCAGAAGTTTGTGGTGCTCACTGGAGCAGTTCTATGGCAGTTTCTGTTTGCTAAGCACTATCTTGAATCATTTGAAATGTGCTTGGGTAAGTATAAATATTATTCATATTTATACTCTTGTAGTCAAATATGCATTACAGAAAATTATGTGTTTCTATCTGAAATGGATGAGATTCATGAGATTTTAGAGTGATGTAAAGATGGCTCACAAGATGGAATAAGTATCAATTCTTCAGTGCCAGATTTAAGGAGCTTCAAGCAGGCCTTTATACCAGCTGAGTAAGGGGAGTTATTTTATAAAAGTAATCTGCCTACTTGCACAAAAGCTAATCAGAATCTGGCCGTAGTGTTTTCTTTATTCATACTTTTGGGCAGAGGGAAACACTAAGGAGGCTATGGATTTTTTTCTCAAGGTGATTTTAAATCAACATTGTTGACTTGAACATGTGGGTTAATTCTAGTGTAACTGAAAGGTTAAATAAAGTATAGATGTGCTTTGATCCATGCAGTTGAATAAAACAGGAAGAGTATCTGATATAAATTGTTAAACAATTGAAGATAAGATCTCAGAAACAAATATCTTCTCCATAGTAGGTTCAGGGCATTTTGATTAGTAAAATTAGATGCCTTAAGTTCTAAGGTTGTGACTTTAAATAAACCATTATAAATGCAAATGAATGTTTGGTATTGGCACTGCTCGCAGGGTATTTCAAGGAATAATTGTAGCAATATCCCAATGATAAGAAGATGTTGAAATTATAATGGATACTAATTTACTTTGGGTTAGGGACTTTAAAGAACATACTGAAAAAAACTTAAGAAGTGTTTCTGTGAACAAAATAAAAACATCTCACAGAAATTAAAGTCAAAATTTGGTTCAACAGAAGCTGTCTATATTAGACTTGAGCTAAATACAATGGTTTTAAACAGATCTGCATTAAATTAAAGCAATATTGGAATGCTCACTCCACATTTTAACATAGCCTGACCATGTTTTTTTGAGGGGGAGGGGGGCATTTGATCTGTTGGTGCAAAACTTGCCTGTTAATAGCTGTGTAAAAACTCTAAGACTAAACATTGTGACTGAACCAAGCTCTATGCATCCCTGCAACCAAACTAACTATGGAAGACTTTATTAGCTCTTATAAAAAGAGAACACTACAGAGCTACAAAACTTCCAGATATGAGGCCTTGCTCTCAAATATTAAAAAAACTCTAGCTGTGTCTACACAGTATTATAAATAAACATGACTACCATGTGGCTACCACAGCAAGCAACACTTTTAAAATAAAGTATTTCTGTTTTCTTTTCAGTTTGACTCAGGCATGGGTTGTATATGGATTAAAGAATAATAAGAGTTTTAGAAGGAATGTAAAACTTCATGCTTTAGGATGTATCCTAGATTCTAACTACTGAAGGCTAAGAGAAACTTCCTTGTGATCTGGATATTCCACAACTGACCTCTGTAGGTTGCCAGCATCTTTTTTTTAGAAGCAGCTGTACTTGAATGCTGTTGTTGATGGGATTCTGGACTAGATGAGACACTGTCAGATCTAGTGTGCTGTTCCTCTGTTTTTGTCTGGATACAAATATATAATTGATATATACTTAAAAGTTAACTCACGATGGTCCCTCTGAATGTGATGTATTACCATACTACTGACTTTCATCTTCTTACATCTCGCAGAGACTTGTTACCTCACTTGTTTGTTAATGTAGTTTACCAGCATTAGAATGGAGACTTAATGGCAATGACTTA